TGGTCCCAAGATGGAATAGCATCAGGGATATCCCTGTTTTTCTTTTCCGTCTTTGTCATCTTCCCCATTTGGCTTGAGAGAGACAGACAGACAATCACAGACAGCCTGCTGCAGAGTGGAAAAACTGAAGCCTGGGCTTTCTAGCCAGAGGACCCAAAAGCTCCCCCTGTTCCTGCCTCTGAGCCAGGAATTGTCAGAGCCATTATGGAGAGGAGAGAGAGTTGAAGAAAGGGAATCCCATAAAGATTTATGTGAGCCAGCCCTGAGCTGCTCATGTATGGCTCTGACCCTAAACAGAATATCAAAGGCTTTGAAAACTGGTAGTTCACCTCCCAGTCCCAGACTGGCCACTGAGTACAGGTTAGATCTGAATACCATGGCATGCTGGATAGATCTGAGTAATAGCCTTTCCTAACTAAAATCATAACATAACTTTGGATAAGAACTTGGAGACTGAATGATTGCCTGCTAAAAAAAATTTTTTTTAATCCTCACCTGAGGATATCTTTCCATTTATCTTCAGATAGGGAGGGAGGAAGGAAGAGAGAAGCATCTATGTGGGAGAGACATATCAATTGGTGGCTTCCCGTATAACCCCAACCGGGGCCAGGGACAAACTGCAACCGAGATACATGTCCTTGGCTGGAATCGAACCTGGGACTCTTTGGTTCGCAGGCCAACGCTCTAACTGCTGAGCCATACTGGCCAGGGCTAAAAATTTAAAATTTTAAATCCTTCAGATTTAAATAAAATTTAAAATTATATATCAAGCCCTGGTCAGTGTGGCTGGCATCTTCCCTGGGTTATGGGTCTGATTCAGGGTACATGCCTGGGTTACATGTTCAGTCCCTGGTCAGGGTGTTTGCAGGAAGCAGGTGATCTATGTCTGTCTCTCTCCTCCCCCACTCTCTGAAATCAGTATAAGCCAATTTTAAAAAAATTATATGACATGGTCAAAATGTTCAGGCTTCAATCATGAATGCTTAATTATACAAATGACCAGGAAATTCTCTCAGTATCTCTCAAAGGAAGATAGTCAACAGACACCAGCCTGGAGGTAATGCAAATCAAGGATTAAAGGCAGCTGTCATAACCATTCTATAAGAAGTAAGAGTGAATACTCTCAAAGTGAAAGACAGTCTTAGCAGAGAAATAGAAGATAGAATGGAGATGACGAAGAGTTACTTGGAGATAGATTGGTAGGAATTATCCAGTCAGCAACAGAGGAGAAAAAGACTACGGTGTGGGGATAATGAATAGAACCTGAGAGTTCTGTGGGACAAACCAGAGGGGGAGGTGTGGGTGTGTGTGTAGTCGATTGACAGTATTATTCTATCAAATGAATATTGACCTTATCAAATGAATTATTATGACCAGTTTAAAAACCAGTAAAGGACCATGTAACAATAGTTTAGATTTTTTAAATTTTAAGTGTGTTTATGATTTTCCAGCAGGTCCTTATTTAATTAGAATAGTTATTGACAGACTCAACGAATATTGGAAGGCCTGTTATGAACTGGACTAGGCACAGTCCCATACTACATGGGGAATGACTGGTGGAATTGATGTGAATACCAAAATAGCTACACAAATACAAATAAAATATTTGGGCAAGTCTTTCTGAGTTTTAAAACCCTTTAATGACAGATTTGATCTGGTGGGGGTAGTGTGGTCATGTGAGCTGGAAGAAGAAGGGGACTGGGGCACAAGCGTTCTAGGTAGACTGAAATCCATTCCAACAGTCAAAGTTTACATGTCTCAGCATAAGTATATTCTCCTTCACCTTCAGGGGGCTTGATCTGAGTGAACAAGTTTATGGGGCACAATTTCTATGAAGAGAGAATAGTTTGTGGAAAAGCCTAGCATGATCGAAGTACAGAAAATGGGGATGAATTTAGTTGTCCATATATCTGTCGATGTGAGCTTTATTTAATTTTTATTATTTTAAGTAATTGTCTTTTTATTGTAAAATATGTCAAATCAGATGAGGAGGGGTACTAGGAGACCTGAAGATTAGATAATAGTTTGGTCTCTGGAGAGAGTAATATAGGATCATTCTGAAATGAGGAATCCTGATAACATTGAGGGATAGAGTCACTATGCCAAAAACAGAATAAAAGCTTGTACTAAGTGTGAGATCCCTAACCCTTTACCCTCTTTGGCCTTCAAGAAATCTTAAGGCAAAAGAATGGAATATTTGGGTAATCTGACCTGTCCAGGAAAGAACTAAAAAATATTGACATAAGGAAGTTCCCCAGTGATATCTGAGGATAAGTTCACGTAGGTGCATAGAAAACAGAATTATATGAAGAGGCAAGACAGTGTTTAAAGCCAGTGAAAACAAAGTTATACGAGAAAGAAAAGTTTGTTATTTTATCTAGTTCAGCCATGGAGCATGTTTAAAAGTGTTAACGTACTATAATTAGCACTGCTGTATAATATATATGACATTTAAGAGAGCTCTAGCCAGGTAGCTCAGTTGATTGGAGCGTTGTCTCAATACACCAAGGTTGTGGGTTCAATCACCAGTCAAGGCACATACAGTGAATGTATAAATAAGTAGAACAACACATCCATGTTTTTCTCTCTCCCCTTTTCTCTCTTTAAAGTCAATCAATAAATAACATTTTAAAAATAAAGAAGAAAATTAAGAGAATAAATCCTTGTGAAGAGTTCTCATCACAAGGGGGAAATTTTTTTTTTGCTTTCTCTTTATTGTATCAGTAAGACATGATATATGCTAACCAAACTTAGTGTGGTAATCATTTCGCAATATATATAAGTCTAACCGTTACGCTGTACACCTTAAACTTACACAGTGATGTACTGCATGTCAGTTTGATTTCAGTAAAACTTAGAGGAGGTCTTATAAATAACTGAGAAGGGGTAATGGGAAAGGATTCATTAGTATGTCCAGTGGGTGAAAGAAAGTATTTGAAAGAATGTTGAATTCTCGTGGGAAGTCAGTAGGTAATGACATTAGCAAGTAGTATTACTGGAAGAACGATCTTCAGTATTTGAATTCTTAGTATTTAGTAGGTAAATTTGGTAGCATTGTTTGATTTAATGTTGTCAGTCCTCTGAAGTGAGTTTTATTACCCACCAAGTAAAGAAACCAAGCTCAGGAATAATTGCAAGAAATGTCACAAAGCAGAAAAGTAATAGCTTCTATAAGAGCCCCATGTTTTTCTTTGGGTATGATTATTCCTTTTTGCGTTAGAACATTATTTGTGGAATTGAAATACTGTTGATTCTGAAATTATATTTGATGTTAGTGAACTTTGAGTCTTAGAAAATCTGAAACCCAAAGCCAGTGTTTGGTTACCTAAAATAAATAGATTAAAACCAATATCAGTGGTTCTCAACCTTCCTAATGCCGCAACCCTTTAATACATTCCTCATGTTGTGGTGACCCCCAACCATAAAATTATTTTTGTTGCTACTTCATAACTGCAATTTTGCTACTGTTATGAATCACCATTGGAAATATGTGTTTTCCAGTGGTCTTAGGCGACCCCTGTGAAAGGGTTGTTTGACCCCCAAAGGCATCACGACCCACAGGTTGAGAACCACTGATCTATATGTTTGTGTTACCCAGAACTGGGTTTTAATTTTTTTTCTTAACCAAGAATTGTTCAATGTGCTTTCCCCCCCTTCTTTATATAAACAATCATTGCTACCTTTTAAAAAGCGAACTAATTTGTTAGGTTTTGTTTGTGTGTGTGAGAGAGAGAGGGAGAGAGAGAGAGGAAGGAACATCGATATGAGAGTGAGGAGGCATCAATAGGCTACTTCCTGCATGCCCCCATGGGGTTTCAAGTTGAAACCCCATGGTGTACATGGGACAATGCCCAACCAACTGGGCCACACGAGACAGGGCAATTGTTAGCTCTTTTTATATATTGTTTGGTAAGTTATGGACAGAGGCTCTCTATAATTACTAGCAAGCCTAACTTGAAGTTTTCGTGTCTCTGCTGTTCAGTTTCAGTAATTTACCCATCTTAGAAATTACTGCCTTCTGTGAGTGGTCATACTTTTGCCTGTTGGGCCAGTAACGAACGATTCCTTTTAGGAACATGAAGAAACTAGCACAAAATTCTAGCAGGATTGATTGGTACTGTACTTGATTTTTACTACAAAGGAAGTAAACCTGCCTGTTTTGATGCTGGCTGTGCTATTGAGGATTTCTCTTACATAAAGGTCTTAACTGGAAAAGAAAACTTGAACCATAGTATACCGATTTCTTGAGCATAGAAGAATGACCAACCAAATATTAAGAGCCTTAAAACATTTTTAGCTTTTAATCTGATAATTTTAAGATGTCCCATGGAATTGTTTTAAATTGTCTTTGTTTATAGTAAACACACTAAATAGGAAGCACTTTCTTGGGTCTCAGTCAGGTAAATTAAAACTAGTTTACTTAGCTATACCCATATGACTTTCATTTTGCTATCTATTGTTGCCTGTACTGCAGACTTTCTACATTGTTGAAATGGGCATTTTCCCACCTCATTGCTGCATTGTATTCCCAAGATCTTGTGGGTATTCTTGTACTGTGAACTGCCAGCCAAAGGCAATTTTTCATTTTTTGGCAGTGTTCAACTTTTACCTTGCTTTTCTTGAATCATTTAACCAGTGAAAGGTAATGGTTTTCCTTGGTTTATGAGCCTTTTGAATTTCCTCTGTACATGGTTTATTCACAGTATTTTGATTTGTCTTTTTCTTAATAAATTGTCAATACTATAATTTCTACTTTTCTGATTTTCTTTTTTAATTTTCTTCATATATAGCAAAATGTATCACATTTAGTGGTTGCCAATACAGAGAGACAATTTTGGAACAAAGACTATATGTTGGTATTCATAAGAGAAGCTAGAACAAGAATATGCCGACATATATAAAATTTGCTGTGTTAATCATTGGAAAACTTAAATGTGAGAGATTTATGATTTTTGAAAGTAGGCAAATAGTGTAATGAATTCTTTTTTGTTAAACAATAGATCCGAGTGGGACATACTTTTGAAGGATGTGCAATGTTCAATCATAAGTGTGACAAAAACTGACAAGCAGGAAGCTTATGTACTCAGGTAAGTCCTGTAAAACAAGTATTAGCTAACGTATTTCTGTCTGAATCATACTTTATATAGAATAGGAGATTGTTACGCTGGACCTTAATTCTATAATTATTTTTAGCTTATTTTTTAAAATGTGGTGTAAAATAAAATGTTTATTACTTCAGGTGTCCCTAGGCAGTAGGTTTTGAAGTGTCGCCTGAAAGCTTTTTAAGATGGTTGCCATTTTATCTCCTTGTAGTTGGCAGGAAGTATCTGTAAAGCAGGGTGGAATGACATTGTACTTTTACCTTGCAGGTTCAGATCTTCTTTTAGTATATGCCTCTCAATATCAGAACTTTAGGCAAAGTGAAAATGAGCTCCCCCATACAAATAGGATTGCCATATATAACAGAAGAAAGGCATTCAACCTTTCTATAGGTACAGAGATAATTTATCTAATAAATACATTGAATTCTTATACATATTATAATGGGCCTTGGATTGAACAAGGTTACTAAAGTACCTGTTTTGTGTTTGGCATATACAGATGTTTATCAAAGACTTATGTGCTAGGCCATAGAGATATATTAGTGAGTAAAAAACAAGCATTCCTTTCCTCACTGGGCCTATTACCTAGTGTACGAAGTGGCTATAGAAATACATGTGAGAGTAGGTGGTACAAGACGAGGTAAAGTATGAATTTAGTAAATAACGTCTTAGGATAGGTGAGGTGAGAAGGAAAATTTAGTAGCAAAAGAGGGTTTGCTTAATGAGCTAATATGCTTTATACCTAATTCAAGGACTGTTTCTGTGGGTTCTAGAACTTAAACTGATTTTTGTATAATTGAAGAGGAAATCTACTGTAATACATTTGCTTCTTTGACATCTTAACATTTAAAATTACTAGCCAACAATTTATATTGTAAATGATGATTCAACAATAAGTTAGGTGTATCTTGGTATAACATAAACAGCATTATAATATTGTAACTTTTTTCAACTGCAGTGAGAGTAGCATGTTTGTCTCCAAGAGACGTTTCATTTTGAAGACATGTGGTACCACCCTCTTGCTGAAAGCACTGGTTCCCCTGTTGAAACTTGCTAGGGATTACAGTGGGTTTGACTCAATTCAAGTAAGTAATCAAAAAACATCATTTAACCCTTTAAGTTATAAATAAATTTGTGTGCTTACTGCTTTAGTTGTTGTAATGGATAAGGATGGGCACACCACGAGAGAACGAATATTCTTCCTAGTGCTGAAGAATAGGAGAATATAGAGAAAGTTGGGATAAAATCCAAATGGAAGAAAAATGAAGAAACCAGACATGTTCAATAGTTAACTTTTTAATGTGTTAATATGAATGGTAGAGACACTAAGAAAAGAAGTGAAAGCAAGAAAAATTAATCCAGTTTTCATAATGAGGAGTTGATTATGTTAAAGAAGAACAGTTGGTATTGAGTTAAATTCTGATAACATTCAAGGATTAAGGTGTTAATACCTAGAGCATACTTTTTCTGATGGGTAGGTGTTGAATTTTAGTATTTCATCTAATTAGAGTAAAGGATATCTTGTTACTAGGACCTAAAAGGGTTTTTGTTAACTTACTGATCTTTATAAGAAATCTAAAGCAATGTGTTCTTAATATTTTAATTACTGGCTCTTTTCCCAGGGATATGTTTTTCATTGATTCTAGGGAGAGAGAGAAACATTGATCAGTTGTCTCATGCATATACCTGAATGGGGAACAAACCCATGACCCTTCAGTGCACAGGATGATATTCTAACCACTGAGCCACACTGGCCAGGGCTGAACCACTGACTATTAGAGTTTAATGTACACATGTTCTCCCACAAAATTTTGGCTTACATGCTTACTTAAAAGCTCAGATTAGAAACTGCTGCTCTGGAAGTATTGTACCTTATCACTACAAGTTGTTATGACCTGTCATCTATAGACTGGGTATTTTGTTGCTAGAAACTCATAGCCACACTCTACATTATTGATGCTCTGTTGAGACTTCTCCACAGCTCAAAAACAAAGTTGCTCCTTATAACACTTAACTCATGGATGTTGATTTATTTGTCTGTCTTTTTTAGAGCTTCTTTTATTCTCGTAAGAATTTCATGAAGCCTTCTCACCAAGGGTACCCACACCGGAATTTCCAGGAAGAAATAGAGTTTCTTAATGCAATTTTCCCAAGTAAGTTTAAATAAATAGAATTGAAACCTGCTTTATTAAAGTTAGAGGGTATATCTTTTCAGAGATCTTTTATGTATGTGCAAATGTAGCACTTCATAGAATTGAGATGAATGTATCAATATAGCTGATTACAAGTCTTAGCGTGTGTATTTGTGCACAACCTCAGGTCACTGTTGTTAAAATAATGGAAAAGGGCCCTGGCTGGTTTGGCTCAGTGATTGGAGCATTGGCCCGCAGACCAAAGAGTAGCGGGTTCGATTCTGGTGAAGGGCATGTACCTCAGTTGCGATTAGATCCCCAGCCCTGATTGAGGTCATCCAGGAGACAACCAAGTGATGTGTCTCTCTCCTTGTCTCCCTCTCCTCCTCTCTCACACTCTATCTGAAAATAAATGGAAAAGTGTCCTCAAGTGAGGATTTAAAAAATAATAATAATGGGCCCTGGCCGGTTTGCTCAGTGGTTAGAGCATTGGCCTGTGGTCCAGAGAGACCCAGGTTCGGTTCCCACAAAGGGCACGTACCTTGGTTGCAGTTTGTCCCCAGCCCTGGTTGGGTCACGTGAGCAGCAACCACTTGATGTGTCCCTTTCACATCTGTCTCTCCCTCCCTCCCTCTTTCCCTCCCTCTCCCCCTCTTTCCCTCCCCCTCTGTCTGAACAAAAAATGGAAAAATGTCCTTGGGTGAGGATTAAAAAAATAATAATAATAAAGGAAAAAGAAAATTAAGGAATTGTTCACCTACTAGAAGGAGAGTTCATCTTTATCTAGCCACTTGCTCTAATTTATATCTAACTTAGTGGGTATGAAGGCTATGATCCCTTCATCCAGAAAAATAACCCAGTGAGTGACTTCATAATCTTGTGTTAAGACACTGGTCTGGCAAGCAGAACAGGAATTGAGCTGACTTACAAATCACCAACAGAGTGAGATCATAGCGTAACTTCAACAAAAGTGGGCAAGATTTTCTTCCATTCATTTACAAAGCTTTTATTTATAGGACTTCCCTTTTTAAAAAAAAATCCTCACCCAAACATGTTTTTATTGCTTTTTAGAGAGAGTGAGAGAGAGGAGACATTGATGTGAAAGACACACATCGATTGCCTCCCAGAGATCAAACCAGAAACCTAGGTATGTGCCCTGACCAGGAATCAAACCCACAACCCTTTGGTGTATGGGACAATGCTCCAACCAACTGAGCCACCCAGCCAGGGCTATAAATCTTCCTTTTTGAACTTCAAGGTCAAGGAACTAAAGGTTATCTAATTTAACACCCTTATATTCTAGATGAGGCTGAAAACTTACGATGATTTTAATAACTTGGACAGAGTCACTCGTGAACATGATTTTTAAAAGAAAATCAGATTTCTATTTTTTTCTTAACTTAGTAATAAGATGAAACTACACTGATCTAAGTTGGAGAGGGCTGATTGTAATTTGGTGTAAATATCTACCAGTTGTTAATTTACTGTGTTGAGTGAGGCTTTGAAACAATATGGAAAGAAAATATTACATGAAATGACTTGTATTTACTTGGGAGAGTAGATAAATGGGTAACTAAATTCCATTTCCTAATGGAGTTTTAGGAGAGAAGGAGCCATAGTTTTCTCAGCATCATTTAGACTGACTCACTACTCACTGGCTGCTGAAGTGTGTCTCATCATCCTAGCTATTGGAGGGGTGAGAAAAAGCCATCCTATCAAATGGATCTGTTGCATTTATTTTACATTCTCCTCCTTCAACAGATGGAGCAGCATATTGTATGGGACGTATGAATTCTGACTGTTGGTATGTTGGACACAATTTTATGGATTTTTTTTGTTTTCTTCTAATAAGGTTTACTTTAAAACTGCCACTTGTCATTTTTAGAAATGATTTTTTTTTTTAACCTTTGGATAGGTACTTGTATACTTTGGATTTCCCAGAGAGCAGGGTAATCAGTCAGCCAGATCAAACCCTGGAAATTCTGATGAGTGAGCTTGACCCAGCAGTTATGGACCAGTTCTACATGAAAGATGGTGTTACTGCAAAGGATGTCACTCGTGTAAGGATTTTCAATAATTCTGGATTCTGCTTGGGGACTAAAATATACTGTTTAACTCATTCTTATTTCATTTTTCAAATTTGTATTTAATCCCCCCCCCCCCCCCAGGAGAGTGGAATTCGTGACCTGATACCAGGTTCTGTCATTGATGCCACAATGTTCAATCCTTGTGGGTATTCAATGAATGGCATGAAATCGGATGTAAGTAATAATATTTGCTTAATACTTATTTAAAATTTTAAGTGTGCCCTTTCCATTATTAACACAAAACTATTTCTCTAAGGGAACTTATTGGACTATTCACATCACTCCAGAACCAGAATTTTCTTATGTTAGCTTTGAAACAAACTTAAGTCAGACCTCCTATGATGACCTGATCAGGAAAGTTGTGGAAGTCTTCAAGCCAGGAAAATTTGTGACCACCTTGTTTGTAAACCAGGTAATTTGTTTTATTAACAATAAATTGTTCCAGAAAATAAGGATAGTGAGGAATGTCATAAAATGGCACATATCAGTCAGATACAGAGGTGCTACTAGTTGGGTTATTGGGATAAAAAGCTTTCTGCGTTTCGGTAAACTTCTGTTGTTCTTGTTTTATATTTAGCCTAATTGATGGGCTTCACCTGACCTATTTATTTTCCCTGTTGGCAGGGAAAGATACCTTATTTCACTTAAGCCCATAAGAAGGTAGTTAAAATATTTCAAATACCACAGTTTCATTAAGATAGTACTTTAAAATATTTGTGGTATGACTATGTTGTTTTTGATAACTTCTGTAGATTGGAAGTACTAACAGTTTATTTAATTTTTTTGCCCAGAGTTCTAAATGTCGCACAGTGCTTTCTTCGCCCCAGAAGATTGAAGGTTTTAAACGTCTTGATTGCCAGAGTGCTATGTTCAGTGATTACAACTTTGTTTTTACCAGTTTTGCTAAGAAGCAGCAACAGCAGCAGAGTTGATTAAGAAAAATGAAGAAAAAACGCAAAAAGGAAACACAAATAAAAGAAGGTGGTGGCTGCTTTTTAGATATTGATACCGGGGGCCATGCTTTCCATAACCACCACCTTGTAGTTGCAGAAAGCCCTAGATGTAATGATAGTGTAATCATTTTGAATTGTATGCATTATTATATCAAGGAGTTAGATATCTTGCATGAATGCTCTCTTCTGTGTTTAGGTATCCTATGCCACTCTTGCTGTGAAATTGAAGTGCATGTAGAAAAAAACTTTATATATGAAACTTTACAACACTTGTGACAACAATTCAATTTGGTTTATGCACAGTATAATATTTCTCCAGGTATCATCCAAAATTCCCCACAGACAAGGCTTTCGTCCTCCTTAGGTGTTGGCCTCAGCCTAACCATCCGGGACTGTTCTATTAAATTGCTGCCAGGATATTACATCCAGTTACCTCCAATTTCTAGAACATATTCTCTACTAATGTTATTGAAACCAATTTCTACTTTATATAGATGTTTTTTGCAATGGCAATTAAAGTTTTTGTTCCACGAGTCAAGTCCTCTTAGAAAGTGATTACAGTTAACCCTTTTGTGTATTACTATTTTAACGTTATTGCTTCCTGAGCTTGTATTCCTTTGGTTTTGTTCCTCACTATAGTGTCTCTCCTCCCAACCCTGCCCCAATAAAGCAATACACTGTTACACTGTGGGTTTATACCAGTCTTATAACCCAGAGCGGGAAAGGGGGTGGATCCTAGGCTTAAGGTCAAGGGAGTTTGGCTTGGTTTTTTTTTTATTGGCATTGGCTCTTTTAGAAGACAGTGACAAAAGTAAACTTCTAGTGTTGATTAGCAAGGAAGACACATAGAATTAATATTGGAATATACTGGCAGAACTATATGGGAACTGTATGCCATTCTGTGCTCTCCAGTAAATAAGATTAGCTTCTCACGAGGACCGTGTTTTTACTCACTTACAAAGTAGTAATATGAAAAATTGTATCACTAAATTTATTAGCAAGGAGATTTCAGATAAAGGTTGTACTGGATTCAGTAAGTCAAATCAGATCATTCACCTTAATTTTTATTTTGGCAACTTTCACTAATTTCCATTAATAATATACCATAAACTTTAATTCAAAAGCGGCATCAGTGTCTTTGCCGTCTTGTGGCTTGAAGTTCTGTGACTTTGTGATGCATGTGAGAGTGTTCTGCCTTTGTGTTCCTCTTACTGGTGGTCGTTCTTTCACCACGGGTTCGGAGAATCAAGTAAATGACCAGAACGAGAACTGTTCAGATTTTTTAGACATAACACAGTGAAGCAGAATGTTGTCCATAAAACATAATGTACAGAACTCCAAAATGGTCAGTGGGAAATGCCTAGAAATACGGGCTTTCAAGAGTTGGCATTTTTAACTCTATTTGCAAATACCGTGAGATATAAGCAGCCTAGAAAACAGCAAAGTTAACTAAATTTTGTATTCTTGTCCTCGATTTTTTTTTAATTCTTTGTGGCTTGATGCAGTGATGTTTTCGTTCCTTCCATATTTATAAATGAAACACTTTTTTTTTTAGTGTTTCTAAACATAAAATCTACTTGGTTTGAAATCAAGTGGATGGATCACTTTTGACTTTTATTTTAAGCACGTCTTGATTCAAAGTTTCATTGAAGGAAGCTTTCAATCAGTGGATCAGTTTGATTCTGTAATTAGCACACCAGTACCTAATGTTTCGGTGCTGTTTTGAGGACCAATGCTCAAAGTGGATTTTCTTGAACAGTGTCCCAGTAGATTTGATGACATGTGTTGGCTTGAGGTCTAATTTTTTTTCTAATACATTTAAGATTTCTAATGTTGAAAAACACAAATTTGTATGAAACAAAACCTAGAAAAATAAAAACTGTAGATTAAATAGTAATTTTAAATTAATCCTAGTATATTATAGAGGAGGGAAAATTTTGATGCCATAATTTCTCTCTTCATGGTGGTGTTGGACTTAAATCGGTTGAAATGTATTTCTGTACCACAATTTAAGCTTCAATAAAAGTTTGCTTAATTGATTGTCTAGTGACATTCAGGAAGTTTTCTGTTGCTGTACTTTTTAAGTAGTATATGTGACATCTAAAGTTTTAAAATTAATTGAAGAAATGTACATTTAATGCTTATTTTCTAAGATTTGTGAGTTATGAATACGGAAGATCTTTAAGCTTCTAGGAGAATATCTCATTTGTATTCAGATTCAAACTTTTTTGTTGTTGTTCGTGGCTTTATTAGCTGAAGCTCAAAAGAAATATTTGGGCTATATACCAGGACATCAGAGATAAGAAAGGGTAAGTAGTAAGAATAAGAATGTGTATTTGTGAGTTTGGTCTTATAGGAAGACAAAGGTTTGAAGGTGGAATGTTTCAACCTTTATTTTATGGAACAGGTCTCAGTAATGGTGGGATGGGGAAGAACAAGCTATGAGCTTCCTTTATTTCATTGATGGTTATTTCTGTTAACCAGAGGACAATTATAAGTTTGATCATTTTGCCACATAAGTACGTATTTGGTAAAATTACAGTTTTTCGGTTCCTAGCTGCAGTAAGCTGAAAATCAAAATCTTATAAAAATGTCTATTCAAACCCTACAATAAGCTTATTAGAGAATATTTTCCAAAAGACAGAGGGGTTGATCCTAAAAAAGCAAGATGTGTTAATATATGTGTATAAAATAGGTGAGTTTTGGGAGACACTAATAAGCAGTTTATGTTCATTGATAAGTTTCAGGCATATGGATGGTAAATGTGATGTTGCACTACAGAAAATAAAGGATATTACTTTCACTGTCCTACCTAGCCAGATCATTGTCGCCAGTTCTTGGCGACCCACCTTCAAACTTTCCATCCACCTTTCTCTTCTTTCTGTCATAATGGATGAGGTGCATCATAACTGAGTTCTCCTCAGGGATTCCTACTGTTGGTGACTTCTTTCTTAAGATTTTTTCTAGTTTTCTTCCCACCTCCCTTTGCTCTTTCTTAGAGTCTACTTTGTTAATTCTTTATAAGATGACAAGTGTCTAGCTAGATTCTTACCCCAAAACTGGACTTTTCAACTACTTCCTACAATCCATCACTTTCCTGAATACTCAAACCAGAAATCTAGGATGAAATTGAGGCAGGGTCATAGGTTCTTGATATGACTAAGATAGGAAGAAAACCATTGATGAAAAGTCTCAAAGAATGTCTAATAGGCCGTTTGATATATGAGCTAGGAGCCTGTCTAGAAATAGATGGAGGTTTGTAATTAAACATTTAATTGGGGAATTTTCAAACACAAAGTAAAATAGTACATTGAACCTTCATAACCTAGCTTCAACAATCCTCAGCTCTGCTTTGATATATCTATTCATTACATCTTTTAAGTAAGGCTTATATAAATACATCTTAACTACAATTTTGGATAATGGATATATCTTTTAGCCCACAGCCATTATCAGAACAAAAGGTTCACTCGTGTCTACATAGGCAACTAAGCACTCTACCCAGTTCCCAAGTTAATGACTGAATTCTTTTATTCACCATAGACTATGGTTTTATTTCTCCTGGAACTTTGTATAAATTGAATCACATAATTTATACCCTTATACCTTGCTTTCATTTAGCATAAAGTTTTTGAGGTTGAACCATGTATTGCTGAGTAGTAGTCTATAGTAACCACATTTTTTTTTAACCTATTAATGAACATTTTATTGGTTTACAGTTTGAAGGAAAATAAGAATAAAGCTGCTATGAATATTTGCATATAGATATTTTTGTGGCCTCTGGGTATATATATTAAACTGCATTTCTCTGATAAGTTATTTAAAGTTTTTATCAGCAATAATTTTTAATAAGTATTCTAGGTTTTTTGATGCTAGAGAATTTTTTTACATTTGCTACTTTCTAGATACAAAGTTTTTTTAACTCGTTTTATTTACATATTTACTTACTTCCTTACATATTTTGGTACGTGTCTCTAGCCAACCCAGGACTCTCTGGTCCAGGCTGACGCTCCAATCGCTGAGCCAAACCAGCCAGGGCTAGATACAAAGTTTTAATCTTGTATCATGAGACCTTGCTAAACTCACTTATGGTTTTGTTTCCTTATTACACTGGTTAACACTCTATACATAATATATAGCAGTGGTCTGTAAGCAAGACACCTAGGGAACCAATTTCAAGTAGGTAACTCTGGGGTGGTGGCAATAGGCATCTGAGTGAGTGCATCCTTGCATTCTGCTCCCCAGGGGCTTTGCCTCAGTCTTGTCCTGGTCCTGGATGAAGGCCATTTTCCTTGTTCCAGTTTTAGGAAGAAGACATTCAGTGTGCCGTCAAGAACATTGCTGTTGGTTTTGTGTAGATGCCTAGATAGATGACATATTCCATAGTCCTCTGTTTATAGTTTGTTTTTCTTATGAATAGATGTTGAATTTGGTCAGGTGTCCTTTTGCCCATTCATTGAAGTGGTCGCCTTCATTCTGTAAAAATACTATTCCTTGCCCTGGCCAGTTTGGCTCAGCGGTTAGAGTGTTGGCCTGCGGACCAGAGAGACCCGGGTTCGGTTCCCTCTGAGGGCGTGTAGCTCGGTTGCAGTTTGTCCCTGGCCCCCGGTTGGGGGTCATGTGGGCGGCAACCACTCGATGTGTCTCTCTCACATCGATGTTTCTCTCTCCCTCCCTCTCTCCCTTCTGCTCTATCTAAAGATAAATGCAAATAAAAATAAAAAGAATACTATTCCTGCCTTTGGCGAGTTTAATAATGGAACCTTAGGACTGAAAGAAGCCCCCAAACATTGGAGACAAATATTTGTCTTGCTTAAAGTAATTACCCGGGTTACTGTGCAGCAGCAGTCAAGGTGGTGGTGACTGAGGAGGTCTCTGAGGCCGGTACCAGAAGAAACAAGATGGCAGGAGTTTTTTAAACAAGAGCAATTTTAGTCGATTTCACTTGTACTGATAACACTCCTCAATTTATCTGCCCATGGGAGTACTCAACTCATCACTGACAGAAGAAACATCCTTTGTGCCACCTGTAGCAGCAATGGGACGAACTGTCAAGAGCAGCCAGGAGCATGTCGACCTCCACTGCCAGAGAACTCCTAGGACAGTCAGCAGTCACATGCACGAGAACACTTAGTCTCATGCTCCCACACACGTGTCTCCTGCCTTGTGTGCGCCCCCAGCCCCACATTGACCCACCCACACACTACTTCTAACCTCATAGCCTGTGTATTCGTGAGTGCTGTAAAATGGACCAAGCCATGGTTAAAGGGCAAGTCAGACTGGGATGGTAGATTCTACTCAACCAGCTTCCCTACTCCAGTTTACCTCCTGCTCTCTAGTCCTCTGGAGATATCCCAGGTGAGTGTGCAGGTCTGAACACCAGCCAGGTGGCAGCTGTGGAGCTGAAATAATAGGATCTTTACTAAAGTAACCGCCCATTTGCACAAGGCCCCTGAGTCCATATTCAAAAGCTTGTCTGCCCTGACTGGTTTGGCTGAGCGCCTAGAGTGTTGGCCTGCAGTCCAGAGAGACCCGGGTTCGGTTCCCCCTAAGGGCACATACCTCGGTTGCAGTTTGGCCCCGGCCCTGGTTGGGTCATGTAGGTGGCAACCAGTCGGTGTGTCCCTTTTCACTGCGATGTTTCTCTATCCCTCCCACTCTATCTGAACAAAAAAATGGGAAAAT